TAACATTGCCATTCTGAGGCAAACTCGTACCCTCATTATCCTAATCCAAGAGATTGAGAGTGAAACCTCGGAGCCAGCCATGTCAGCTATGCAAAGCAAAACAAGTAATATCAAGAGCCTGGGAGCCCCATGGTTAAAGATCCCACACATGTTTCTTAGCCAATTTGACCCATCTCTAATGTCTATTTAAAGTGGAGCACTTGGTAGCAATCTGGATACATATTTTTGCTTAAATTCTCCTTTGATACGGCAGCTGTCAAGCAGCCAAAAAGCCTGACCCAGATGTACTGAGTAAACCCAGCAGATTATTTGTCAAACAAATTCTGGAATCCAATATTTGTGGGTTTTTTTATTTAATTGGTATGCAAATGCAGAGACAAGGTAGCATTTGTGCTTGATACAGTTGTCACTTCAAATTCTGGTAACATTCATTATCGTGCTTACAGATGTTTTTTCACACCTAACATCTGCCAATACCACCTAAACCCCAGGAAGTCGTCAAACCTGTGCAAACTTCCTTTCTGTCTCGCTCCTGCTCTCTGTTATCTGCTCCATGCACGCTAATTTTGTGCATCTGAGGCCTCTGCTCGCCAGAATTATGCCTGCTTCCTAACACCTCTGCCTCCAGAGCTTTGGATTTGAAATTGAACAGACACAGAGCCAATTTATCACAGGATGACATGTGTCATGTTCATGGTATAACCAGAGGGACCTGCTGTATTTATCCTTTTGTTGTCAGCCTGGACCAAGACAATATAGGCAATAGGCAGCCATTACATTTAGAAAGCATGATGCAAACACTTAACTGATGAAACGGTAAATAGTTTCTTTCAAAACATAGAACTGGATCATTTTGTTTAGGAACAGATTTCTTTGGGAGGGGGAAGAGGGGTTCAAAAATAATCAACTGGCATTCAGACATACGGCATTTCAAAATGTGATCACTTAATACCAATGCATTAGCAAGCAAATCCAGAAAGAAAAAGAAATTCCTCTCCTCCTGCATTGTGCTTGCAAATAAGTAATCATGCTATTCATTAGTGCCAAATGCTGTACTGTTATAAAAGTGGCAAACACTTTTGCTACACGAATGACTAAAACTGTTTAGATATAGTAGGGTTGCCAAGAGATGGGGTGTGGGGGCAAAGTCACAAAAAACCGACATACGTCTGGATTTTTTCAGACATTTTTTAAACAATTCCCAGCCGGACACTGCTGCCGACTACAGTATTTTGGATATGTCCAGGAAATTCTGGTCATAAGGCTACCCTATGAGCCAACTCCCCTCACTCAGTTTTGAAATGAGTCTGTTGTTATTAGAAAATAATGAAAATCATGTCTTTCCCCATCACTGAGAATTATAATGTTGGTTGCATTGCATCCTGTTCCCTTAAAAGCCCACCTATTGTTGCCGAAGCTGTTGATACCAGTCACTAATAAGATCTAAGCAAATATCCCCTCAGAGGTATTTTCAAGAGAACTGCTGGCAAACCCAAACAGCTCGCAAAGTTTGTGTGGTAAGGGAGAAGCTGTCCAGTCCCTGATCTTGTCTGGCCAAGCACTGGTCAGTTCTGCAGTCCAAAGAAGCTTATGAAAAGCTTTTTAATATTTTTGCTCTTAACTTTCCCTGCTCTCTTTACCCTGTTTAGCCTTCGATATTAGGTACTAGCACTTGCTTCAATTGTTATAGGGCACCTTAAGCACTTCATTTTGTGTGTGTGTGTGTGTGTGTGTGTGTGTTTTAAACTGTGTAGGTTCAGAAACTCCAAAAGAGCTAAAATTTAGCCATAAATGGGGATGAAATATTTTTACCCCGATTACAGGAATATGTGGGTTTCAAAGGGCTTGTATTTTATGTGTATATTGATTACTGCTCTATTAACTCTCAGATCAATAAACATAGTAAACATGGTGCCAGAGAACAGGTTTCCTGCCTTAAAGAAAAGCTTTACACTCCTGACTTTGAGAACGAAGGTTTACATTAGCTAGGAAGATAGAAGTGGATGGAGTACGACTAAAAGGCATTTGATCATCTGGAGGTTTAAAAAGAATACATACTGCCCATTAGATGGTTTGCATATGCATATTACACATGAATGGTTCTGATCAGAAACCATTAAGTTTAAACCAGAACAATTTGCCTGCATCACATCACCAAACCAATCTTGCTAAAGCTTTAATATGGGTTCTATGGCACGTGGGTGATTAATTTTCCATTTTAGGTGCAGTAGATCTGAACTCTGCACCCCTGAGCTTGCAGAATTAATGATGCTCATTTGGCAGATAGCCACGAGTGGACAAATGGCTGGTCAAGTTGCTGATGCTGAGAACTAGCATTTCCAAGAAACCCAGGAGGAGGGAAAAGGAAGTAAAGAAAATGATGAAAGTTTTAAGGGCCCAAAGGGAAACTTCCTACATGCCTGTCTAAACAGTTTTGTGCCACATCTACTACCCATAAAAGTGCCAGAAGGTTCTGGGAGAAAAGAAGTGCCCTTCACAGACATGTTCATGCTCACCACATGGAGGCAACAAAACATGCATGTACTTTACAATTTATCTCTTGCTTATGTAACACATCATTATGTTCAGGCATATGTGTGACACGTCTGCATTGAAAACTAGAGTTAACAGTGCAGTATGTAGAAGTTCTATCCATAAAGATTAATCTTTGGTGGCCTGTTCATACTTGGAAGTCATCACTTGATGCTACAGTCAACAAGTAAACAGATTCTGGCTGCTTATCAGGGCCCAACCTTGAAATCTAGGGGCAGTCCCTGATGATGCCATTTCTTTTTAAGGCCCTCTTTCCCATCTGGAGATTCAAATCCTCCTCTGCTATCTTGGAGGGGTTGGGAAAACCTGGATACTTCAGGTCAGCCCTGGGGATCTGACAACACTATTGGGGAACCAATGCGAACTCATGCATCCCTGTCCATTTGGGCTGCATTGATTAGAGGTACAGTAAGCCTGCAACTTGTGCACATTTAACTTGTAGTCATTCAGTTTTACGATCGTGGCAAAAAAATAAAAAGGTGGCCCAAAAGTGTGCGGGGTTCTGGGGAAAATGCCTTTGTCAATCTCACTCGCCATTGAACCCAATGGGTTTTGACTATGCAATTCTAGCTTTAGGCACAGACCACAACCCCCTGCATAAGTTGCAGGCCTACTTACGATATTGCACTCATTAACTTCAGCTTTAAATCCAACCTGATATGCCCCATAGAGGAAAATTTTGCAGGAGAAAGTCTCAGTTAGTTTATATTGGTTTACCTCATGTTATCCATTAAGAAAAGTGAGCAATACATTCTTCTTCAAAACTGAAGTACAGCTGTCTGCCATTACAAACTAAAATGTATTCATGCCAGCAGGATGGTTAATAGACTTTAAAATATCATGGCTATTTTAACCAGAACTACCATGGATATTGATACTATATAGTTCTACATTCTGCAAATGGATAAGAGAACTATTTTCCTTGGCAATCTGCAGTCAAATAAATGGGGTGGTGCCTTTGCAAATAATGGAATTATTCTAGGTAGGTGCAAAGCGCAAGTAAACAGGGCAGGGAAGTCTCTGCAATCAGATATACAGAGGCACCACAGTGCTATAATATGTATTTTTGTCATGGTATAATTTTTAAATCCTATTGGCTCTTCTTTTCGTATTCCCTACCTGAAGATATAATCAGCAGATTCTGACAATCATCTCCACAGCAGTTAACCACCACATCATGTACAGAGGATTATGACTTTAGAAAAAGAATAAGCAGCAGGAGTAGATGAAGTCTTAATAACAAACATTCTGTTGTCATTCACATGCCCTAAGACGATGATAAATTTGCCCCTGTAGTTCTTTAAAGATGTGCACGTTGCAATATCCACTGGTAAGCGCTTTGCCGAAATATAAAACAGAGGCGTTCACTAGCATTTTTCAAGTTATACACTAGAGTATTCCCAGAGCAGCAATGATTTTCTCCCAACATAAAAGCAACCATTCCTTCCTTTAACTTCTTAACTTATCCTCTATCTTCATTTCCTCATTAAAGAAGCTATACAAACTAAAGCACTGGAAAGACAGTATTGTAGGAGGCTGCTAGATAGAAAAACGGAGTCATGTTTCATTAAATGTGTACCAGTGAATAATTAGACTGTTATAGCCTCGACGGCTCCCTTCTCAGTCTCCCTCCCACTTCTTCTTTCTGATTTTAAGGCTCTTTGCTCAAAAGGAGGGCTGGCAATGCCACAGAGATTAGAGTTTTCTCCATAGGGTAAACAAGTTAGGTTTCCAAATACAACTTGTGTGAGCATCTTGGGCTGGCTTCTAGTTCTTTTGTGGCTGCGTTTCAAAGTGTGGGTTATTGCCCGCAAAGCCCCAAAGGGTAAGGAGCCAAGATGTTCGAAGGACTGTTTCCATGTCTGAATTTTCCTGTCTTCTGTATTCAACATCAGAGGGAAGAGATGAAGGATTGCACACCTGCTTTGCATGTAGAAGGTCCAGGTTCATTCTCTGGCGCCTGCAGGTTGGACTGAGAGAAACCTCTGTCTAAAATCCTGAAAGTCAGGGTCTGTCACACGGAGCTAGATAATGGTCTGACAGGATAAGGCAGCTTCCTAGGTTTCTAAAAGTGGACTTTTTAATAATTGTGGACTGCAGAGCCACCAGAGAACCAACCTCTCTCCTGCTGTAGCTGTTGTTGTTTGAATGTGCTGGCTCCTGTGTATCAGGCTGAAAATTTAGCGTTTCTTCTCCATATTCTCAGTTGTTATTTGATGAGTTGTTATGTTAGCTGTAAGCTGCCTTGGAGGCCCTTGTTAAGGGCAAAAGTCAGGATTTAAATAATTTTACAAATAAGCCTTACCTATCAGAATGTTGTCGCTCCTTGAGAAGAAATTGGCATCTTAAAGTATTGACCACCTCCTCCTGGGGCCAAACATTGTGAAGTCAGCTGACAGTACATCAGCAGCTGAGAGGTTTGTGACATCAGCAACACCAGAACCAAAGAATTGTCTTCTTTCCCCCTCCTCTTCTGCTAGTACTTTCAGGTCCTTTACATGCTTTGTGTCCATTTGTTGAACATAAGCAAATTTTGCGTATAAAGAAAAACCTTTCTCAGGTTGATTGATAGATTAAGGTGAAGTAGTTGAATAAATTTAACATCTTCTACTGCAGTCACACGGGACGCGGGTGGCATGGGGGTAAAACCACAGTGCCTAGGACTTGCTGATCGCATGGTCAGCGGTTCAAATCCCCGCGGCGGGGTGAGCTCCCGTCTTTCGGTCCCAGCTTCTGCCCACCTAGCAGTTCGAAAGCACCCCTAAGTGCAAGTAGATAAATAGGTACCGCTTTATAGCGGGAAGTTAAACGGCGTTTCCGTGTGCTGCGGTGGTGCTGGCTCGCCAGCTGCAGCTTCGTCACGCTGGCCACGTGACCTGGAAGTGTCTTCGGACGGCGCCGGCTCACGGCCTCTAGAGCGAGATGAGCATGCAACCCTAGAGTCGGACACGACTGGCCCGTACGGGCAGGGGTACCTTTACCTTTACCTTACTGCAGTCACACAGTTATTGATATATTGATTGAAAATGTCTAGCCAACCAGATTGGTGGTTTGGTTCCTGTTGAGGGTATTTGGCAAGCCAGCATGACAGTGACGTGGGACTGAGGACTAGAGGGATCATTCTGTAATATTATGGCAGTGGACTAAGCTGTATTGTAACTTTTGAATTAAGTATAATAAATAATAAAAACAAAAAAAATATTAAAAAGTTATTATGATTTTACCAGGTTTTGGTTGGGGGGCCGCATTTTGGTTGGAATTGCCCTTGCCACTCAGGATGTGTCTTTATGTGTGTCTTTTTCTAACTCAGAAACAACAGAGTTAATTATAATTGCGGATTTTGCAATAAAAATAAGAAAGAAACAACAGAGTCGAATGGATGGCAGGCAAGGAAGGACAGATAACAGGCAAGACAATTTGTGACAAGGTGGGAACTGAGTTCCCTTGCCTTTGGGGGTGGGGGCGAGGAGGAATGGATTTGAGATCAGCAGCCACTGCCCATTATGGCCTGGAGAGCACTAAGACACACGTGCAAAATGGCAGTTCAGGGACTAATGGGAATGCTAGCACGTAGGAATATGGAAATGGCAGTGGCCAGGGAGAGATTTAGGTAGCTGCACCACAGCATTGATTAGGCAATATTTTAACATTAAGGCTAAAATTAAGTGCAAGCTCTGGAAACTAGCCAGATAGGAGTTGACCAAGCCTGTTTGTTACTGCTGCAAAACTTGTCTGCTATACAGTGGTACCTCGGGTTAAGTACTTAATTCGTTCCAGAGGTCCGTTCTTAACCTGAAACTGTTCTTAACCTGAAGCACTACTTTAGCTAATGGGGCCTCCTGCTGCTGCGCTGCCAGAGCACGATTTCTGTTCTCATCCTGAAGCAAAGTTCTTAACCTGAGGTACTATTTCTGGGTTCGCAGAGTCTGTAACCTGAAGCGTATGCAACCTGAAGCATATGTAACCCGTACTATTCAGTGAAAGCGTCTTTCAAAGTAGTGCATATCCTACCTGTCAACAACTGAGAACTATTTACTTTGAACAATGCTTTTGCCATTTGATTCCTTTCTCCTTCCCAGATATAGGACACTTCTGTGCAGCAACATGAGAATAGGCCTTTTCTGCAGTGGCTCCCTGCTTGTGGAATGCTCTCCCTAGGGAGCCTTGCCTGGCACATTCATTACATATCTATCAGAGTGGCTTAGGAAACCCAGTCAAATGGGTGGGGTACAAATAATAAAATTATTATTATTATTATTATTATTAGTCATCCGGCAAAAGCATTTCTCTTCTCCCAGGCCTTATTATGTTATGTATTGTTGTGTTTTTTATCGTAAACTGCTCTATGATCTTTGGATGAAGGGCAGTATAGAAATGATGGTGATGATGATGATGATAGAATCCATTAAGTTATGTTAACCTCAGTGAACATCATACAAATCAAGACAAAGAACATTAAGATAAATCTAGTTCTATTTGAACTGAATGCCTGTTAGTCTAACACTTAGCTACCTTTCTGGCAGTCCCAAGTAGAAGCTCCCTGGGGTGAGATGTAACTTTATTCTTCCTGTGAATAGACTAAGCATGCCTTAGGTAGTTTTGTGCTTCTCTAAACTCGTGTCACCAGTGAACTACTCCTTTCCTTTCCTCAAACCAGATGGGCCGGGAGCAGAAGAAACAGAGGAATTTTACCTCCTGCCAACACACCCGTTCCTTCTGCATCCTTCCTCCTTTCCTTCACAGCTGGACCATGAAGCTTCAGTATCTAATTTGCCTGGCAGTTTTGACCAGAAGAACCTGAAGGAGGGGCAAATGAAACAGATTATAAATGTTTCCACCTTCCTTTCTGCCATATTTAGGAGGGGTGGGTGGATCTGTCAATTTTGTTTGCTCTCAGTTTCTAATTTTTCCTATCTTTACTTCAGTTTGCTCCCTTTCTGCAACAGTTTGCAATTTATTTATTTTTTAAAAATCCTCTCAAAATTTTGCCAGCAATGTAAGGTGCATTTCTCCTGACATGCACATTTTCATATGTGTCTTACGTTACAAATTATTGCATTTAAAATGTTATTTTCACCAGTCACACACCTTTTTTAAGTGTACACTTTCCCCAGTGGATACATTTTATGGTAGGAGAACTGCATTGCAAAAGTCAGAGAACTGCAGATAACCATATTTTCGTTTGCATATCACTATGAATTAAACAGCCTGCATTAAAACACAAACCAAAGTGAGTTTCTCCCCCTTCTCTAACCCCAACCCTCCAGAAGAAGAGCAGATATTCAGGAGCTTTTCCCATTTCCATTTTGGGGGTGACGGGGAAAAATCTTTTTCTGTAAGTTGTACACTACTCACATGATCTCAGGATCCAACCCCTTGTTTTTAATCATGAAGCATTCAGGCAAGTTTCCAAACAGTAAGTACTTTGAAATATCTATGAATACTGAAATATTTTATCTTTCTCAATCAAAGAGCAATAAAGGAGGCTGCTTCTTTCTGCCGTCTCTCTGTAAACCTACTCCTTGTAGAAAATTCAGCTCTCCTCATCACGAGTGCTGTATATACTCAGTAAAAGGTTATAGCTTTTTCTTCCCCTTTTTCTTTTTTCTTCACTAAACACACAATTCCCAAACTCAGGAGATCGTTGGTTAAATATTTCTGTACCATCTTGAGGCTCATTTAAGAAGCCTGAAAAGGAAAGAAGGAGCTGGTAACTGACCTTTTGTGTTAAGTAATCCATTGATTGTGTGCAAAGGAGAAGCTGGAGAGGATCTTTCTAAGAATTTAATGTAAGAATGTTTAAGCTGCTTTTGCCATTGCATTGTGGTCTCTGCAGTTTCTCACTTAAGGGGAAATAAGAGCTCCCACCAAGTAGTGCTTGGTCTCAGGCATTTTCCTTCCTCTGATGCATTTAAAAGTGGGGTGTATTAAATTACACTATTGCAAAATATTTAAAAACCAAAATATGGGGTTTTGTATAATACGCGGCTTGCATTCTGCTGGACTTGTTTCGATTTAATACTTTTTGCATATCTCCATCTGGCCATGCTGGTCATGAGTAGCTCACACTTAACGTCACACAAAATCCTAATTGATGTAGGATTGGCCTATATTTTGGGTTTAGCCCTTTTGCCCAAAACTAAAAACATTTTGCAGTTTTCAAATAACTTAAATGACAGGTTTCTGAGGACTGGTTCAGAAACTTCATCCTGAGATTGATGCTGTTCTGGATAGTTGAGCTCTGTATGGACGTTGAAATTCACATACAAGGAGCAGATTAATGGCAGTGGACAATGCATGTTGAGTCTGCATTTCATGAATGGACTAGTACTTGGCTGCCAAGCCTGAGATGCTGCTTTAGTTCAGATCCTAAGATCCTATGAGTAGAGTTTTGCTCACAGAAGGTACTCCTGAGTCCCCTTACTGGAAGAGTGGAGGCAATTTTTGCTTATTGAAGGAGGCTGAAAACCAAAACCTTCAAGATAACTTTATTTGAAATGCTACCCATTCCATGGGCAGGGTCAGCTAAGCAGGCAAAGCAGAGGAGCCTCAATGCATTGACAAGATGGTGGTGTTGGAACAAGGGGTTTGAATTTATTAGGCACTGAACTGAGGAATGTTTGGGGAGGAGGAAGGTGCTTTATTTGAACTGGGATGGAACCAGACTGCTTGATACTTAAGCGTGGTGGCAGAGCAACATTTAAGCTGATTGTTCAGTAATAGCTGAGGAGGACCAGCTCAGGGCAAATTGTCCCTAAGAGATGACAGTGAAATGTTTGTGATGGTTTAAATGGGAAAAGTGTAGAGGGACGTGATAGTAATTCAAAGAGACCAAACAGTAACATGCACATGGCCAGAGACATTTGGAGACACACAGCCTGTATAGCTGTCCATATGCTCAGACTATAAGCTCCTGAGCCAAGACGAGTAAGCTGGAAAACTTGGTTTTAAGAGAAAACATTGATATGTGGAATTGAAAGAACCAGTGGGACGCAGATATCTTGGGATACTAGCTTTGTAGGAAAGACCAGATAAGGGCATACTGGTGGTGGCGTGACTTAAGTCCAAAAAAGGACACAGATTTATGCAAGCTAGAAATCCCAAGAGGGGAAGCTTCCTCCACAGAATTGCTGTGGGTGACAATACTGGGCCCCAAGAGTAAACTTGTACTAGGATGTACTATTAACCCCTGACCAAAATGTCCAGGATTGATTTGAGATGGAGAACAAAATCAAAGAGGCATAAAAGTAGGCAATGCTGTAATAATATAATAAACATCCTTCTGGACCGTCTAGAGGGGCTGGGAGCTGGGGGCACTGTTATACGGTGGTTCCGCTCCTTTCTCCTGGGCCGTGTCGAGAAAGTGGTGGTGGGGGATGAGTGTTCAGACCCCTGGGCTCTCACTTGTGGGGTGCCTCAGGGTTCTGTCCTCTCCCCCATGCTTTTTAATATCTATATGAAGCCGCTGGGAGAGATCATCAGGGGGTTTGGGCTGGGTGTTCATCAGTATGCAGATGACACCCAGCTCTACCTCTCCTTTAAATCAGAACCAGTGAAGGCAGTGAAGGTCCTGTGTGAGTGCCTGGAGGCTGTTGGAGGATGGATGGCGGCTAACAGATTGAGGTTGAATCCTGACAAGACAGAAGTACTGTTTTTGGGGGACAGGGGACGGGCGGGTGTGGGGGATTCCCTGGTCCTGAATGGGGTAACTGTGCCCCTGAAGGACCAGGTGCGCAGCCTGGGAGTCATTTTGGACTCACAGCTGTCCATGGAGGCACAGGTTAATTCTGTGTCCAGGGCAGAAGTCTACCAGCTCCACCTGGTACGCAGGCTAAGACCCTACCTGCCCGTGGACTGTCTTGCCAGAGTGGTGCATGCTCTAGTTATCTCCCGCTTGGACTACGTGGGGCTACCTTTGAAGGTGACCCGGAAACTGCAATTAATCCAGAATGCGGCAGCTAGACTGGTGACTGGGAGTGGCCGCCGGGACCACATAACACCGGTTCTGAGAGATCTGCATTGGCTCCCAGTACGTTTCCGAGCACAATTCAAAGTGTTGGTGCTGACCTTTAAAGCCCTAAACGGCCTCGGTCCTGTATACCTGAAGGAGCGTCTCCACCCCCATCATTCAGCCCGGACACTGAGATCCAGCGCCGAGGGCCTTCTGGCGGTTCCCTCATTGTGAGAAGTAAGGTTGCAGGGAACCAGGCAGAAGGCCTTCTCGGTAGTGGCACCCGCCCTGTGGAACGCCCTCCCAGCAGATGTCAAAGCAATAAACAACTATTTTACTTTTAAAAGACAACTGAAGGCAGCCCTTTTTAGGGAAGTTTTTAATGTCTGATGCTGTACTGTTTTTAATATTCAGTTGGAAGCTGCCCAGAGTGGCTGGGGAATAAATAATAAATTATTATTATTATTATTATTATGGGTGACTTCAACTACCCTCTCATAGACTGGGTAAATGTATGTTCTGGTCATGATGACAGAAAGGCAACATTTCAAGGTGCTGGTGCCTTAGAGCAGTTGGCCATGGAAGTGTTTAGCCACAAATATTTTTTGAGCAAGTGGGACATACAGTACATCAACACAACAAAAAGTAATTTGTTAAGTAGGAATGAGATGAAAAATAACACTTGAAGAATGCAATGAAATTCACATAATTCTCTTTTTACTGCCCCCCCATCCTGCTCCAGTGGTTTAAGAATATATTTTTGAATATATTTTTGAATATAGCTGTTACTTGAATGTTTCCTGGGAACGCTGATTTTCTTTCTGCAGTCTACTTCAAGAAAGGGGAACATGTGGCCTTCCAGATGTTGAATTACAGCTCTCACCATCCCTAACTATTGGCCATGCTGACTAAGACAGTTGTGAGTTGAAGTCCAACAATATCTAGAGAGCCACAGATTCCCCATCTTGAGTATGCATGGTCAATATGCTCTGGATCTGGTAAATTGCTCCATCTCTGGAAGATGATATAAACCCAATAAAAATGATTAAGAATGGTCTTGTGTTCAAAGTCAGATCTGCAGAGATGTCTCTTGCTTCAATCTAACGCAAAACACGATGTTTTTAGTTTTGAGTCTGCTTTCAGCAAACCAATGCAACAGTCGTTTAGTGCGTGGCTTCCTTTTTTTCCATCTTCAGCTCAGAATTTGAGGCTTAATGTGACTTAGAATAGAAGGAATCATTAGTTAGCTGGCAGAGTTACCAGAAGGTGGTTTAAGGAAATGTTATACTTAAATATGAAGACAAAGGTCACACACAAGAGATGCTTGAGCTTGTAATACGTTCATCATGTTGCACACGTCTCTTAATCGCATACGGTGGAAATCCATAGGGAGCTGGTAAGTATGTATCTGTGACTTATTACTCTAGCACAGCACTATTATATTTTAGTTTTTAGCATTTTTAAAGAGTGGGTAATAGTTATGAGAGATGAAGAACTTGGAATTAAGTACTGTAGTTATACACAGAAGGATAATTTGGTTTTGATAAATTGTCTTGTGCATGTTAACTAATAACACAAAATTTTTTAAGGAGCATCTTATGAGTATAAAGAAGAGGTAGCATCATTATTAATGTCTAAACTATAGTGTGCTTCACACAGGATTATGGTAAAGGTCAGACCATGTTTCGCTGAATTAAAAGCTATTCTGAGCTACAGCATTCCTAATCAACTCGGACCAAAAGGTGCATAGATCAGTTATAATGAGGCACAGCGAATTTAAATAAACTACATGGTACTGTATAGTGATTTATAAATGCACTGTGGTATCTTTTTAACTCATTAGCTGTGAATGATACTTCATATGTATTCTCCCATTTTCTGCTTTGTAACTATTTTTAATCGCAGCATTTCTTTGAGAAAGCGCCTTATGCTATTTTCTTATATTACGTTAAGGTTTAAAATACGAGCAACCTACTATTTCAAGCCCTTTTCGGCAGAAGTACTTGCATTTAATCTGATTTAGTTCTTCTTAGGTAAATGGAGCTAAATGAGCTTAAACCTTCAGTGCGTACTTAAGTAGTTTGTCAATTAGTTTTACATTTACCCGTGATTGGCACGGTCTGAATAGAGACAAATCTTGATTATGAATACTGGAAATGCAGTCTCCTTTTCCACAGAAAACTTCCAGAATTTGTAAGGCAGTGCATTGGCCTTACATATTTAAACCACCATACACATGTGAATAGTTGAGCTTCTCAGACCTTTAATTCCCTAGGAAGAGGATGGCAAGCGCCAGCCTTCAGGCTGGTTCTGCCCTGTGAGATCTCCTAATCTAGTCCAATGAAGCCCTGAGCAAGCTCCTCCTGCTCTCTGTAGCCCCACCCCTCAGCCTCAAAGCTGCTCCCAAAAGTGCCCCACATCTTTCTCACCCCAAATCAGAGGATGTCATTTAGGTTTATAACTGCATAGTACAACCTGTTTGCCTCCACTCCAGAAAGCCCTTAGCCCCCTTTTTCAGTCATCTATGTTTTCTTCTCCCTGTTATCCTTGCCTCCTGCCTGCCTGTGCTTGCGTGGGCCTTACTTTACAGAATCTGCCTGCTGATTTTTACTTCATTCTGTGACCATAAAGACCACATACCATTCTCAAGTGGCAATGGTGGTTATGACCTGGGGCCTGGGGGGTCTGAAGCTTCCCATGCAACTGTCTGTTTGTCATCAGCTTCAGCCGGTCCACGGGGAGTGACGGGACACTTATAGCTTTGAATTTGAACTGGCCAATCGTGTCGATGCATGAAGGCAGTGTGTTGGCAGTGGACCTGACTGAAGCCTGGCTTCACCCTGGTCTGTCTCCAGGACATAAAAACTGGCTACGTTCACCTCTTGCAGTGAATTTGTCAATTTTGGTTTCTCTCTTGTTTTTTGTTTTTGTTTTTCCTTCATTTTTCCTGTCATCAGTACTCCGTGTTGCCACAGAAGTCTGTGATTTTTTAAAAGGTCTAATGAAAATTGGTCAGCATTTTTGTGCGACTCTCTCCTACTATACACATTTTATAAGCAGCTTTCCTGAATATATGCATTTATGCGCACACTTTAGCATATGCATTTTTGTCGATAGTACTTGGCAAAATTCGGATAAATGCAAATTTTGAAGGATGGTTGTGTTTACGTCTGTGCATTGACTTGGAAAGTGTCAGTCAGTCAGTTTTATTGCACATAGCCAAAGGCTGCCGCAATGTACACAGAATCATTCAACAATTAAAGTGGGCAGATACAAATAAGGTGATATCTGAAGTCCAGGCAGGTTTCCAAAGAGGGAAATCCACATTGGACTTGGAAAGTGAGAAATAGGCAAGTTTGCCTTCAAATTCACCTGAATCAAATTTCTGCCCCCATCTCTAGTTAACCCACCTAAAAATTTAGACTGGACATTGTAATCCAGAAACCAACTAAGGCTGAAGCACCAGACCATACCATACCCATTTACCTCAGAGTAAGCTCCATTTAATTAAATGGAAATTACTTTTGAGTAGACATGTAGAGGACTTGTACCATCATATTTGCGCTTAAGCCAGTATACAGTTACATTCCATCTGGTGGTGGTGTGTAGCAAGGTCTCTCAAGCTTACTTACCTAATGGAGCTCATAGAAGTGACTCATTAAGTCTACTGAAGCCTTGGCGGTGACTTGTTGCATCTTAATCTAGAAGTATGAAATACATCTATGATGTAAAATATCAACTGTAGTTTGAAACAAACAGTTAACACCATTGTTTTTCCATAGAAGAATGGCTATGCTAATGAAAAGTCCAATAATTAGCATTTTAACAGTATCCTCCTATCTGCTGTCTACTCAGAAGTAAGCCTACTGAATTTAATGGGAGTTATTGGCAGGTACTTGTGTATAGGCCTGTATCCTGAAGAGGTTTTCTTTCTTTTCTTTAAAAGGTCTGTTAATACCTAAAAATATACCTTGCTTTAAAACATATTTCATTTTTCTTTACATTTTTACACACATGCAGAATGGTCCTCACTGGCAACGAATCATTTCCCACCAAACAGAGCTTTGCAGCAGATTAACAAGCTATGATCCCCAATAGGGTGAAATCCATCTGTGTACAGACCGGTGGCCTAAATGCCTATATTTTTTAAACAAAAAACCCTTAACAGGTGGTTCTATTTTGTTTTGATAGGCTCCTTTCACTTTCTTGAAGAATCAAACTAAGTAGACTAAATTAAAATGTCTGAAGACAGAAAAAAAATCAGTGAAGAGCAGCTGTGGGAGGGGCAGATAAATTCTTTTTTTCTGTGTTTTTTTTTTAAGGACCAGCAAATGAGTGGTGAAGTCCTATGTGATGTGACTGTTCAGAGTGGCATATGTATCAAGTGTGGAATAGTGTTCTTTGCTCATATTTTCTGACTGCTTCTTGCTGGGAATGATGGGATTTGTCCTCTTAAATGAATAGTGGGTACACAGAATTGATAAATACTGTGAAACTTTTATTCAGGTTTTTTGTTCCACTCCATTGCACCTTTCCGCAGACATCTTGTTGACTCTTGTTGCCACCCTTGTAGAACTGTGGGACATAGCAGGAGCTTGCTTTGCTTAGAAGAAACGATAAGTCTAGCTTGACTGCATAGTAATAATTTCACCTTCCCACTCTTGTATTAAGTGCTTATCCCACTGGAAGTCAGCAATCTGCTTTGAAGTTCTTGGCTTCAAAAGAGTCACCACATGAAACCTATTCAAACAAGCAGGCGTCCCCCTAAATAGGAAAACATCCTCTGCATCTGACTCTTAATTTCTGCAGTTGATAAAATGCCTTTGAGCATCAATAGGATTTTAATATTACCATATTTTGTTGCACAACTAGGAGGGCAAAGGCTCGCAGGCTGGTCTTTGGAGGTTGCATCCCTTTTTTAAAAAACAGGATGAAACAATTGGAGGATGGTTTTGATTACCTGCTGTCAAATTATTCCCATAATTTCCTCACTGTTTCGGCATTCCTGCTAGCAGGTCATTGCAAATTCAAGACAATGAACTATCAAAGCAAATTTGCTTCACTGTAAGGCAGATTGTAAACAGGTGGGGAGAGGCGACGGGGAGAGGATAGCAGTTTTGTACCTGAGCAGTTCTAGAGGCCCAGATCAAATAGAGAAAACAATGTGCAAGTCCAAAATGCAGATTTATAAACATTTTATTAGCTTATTTTATTTCATAAGGTCTATCTGCCACTTGATTGCAGTAAAACATCTAAGCAGTTTACAATAAATATTACAATTATGAATAAAAACAATTGAAAACATTTCAAAGATAATTAAACCAACAGTAAAATAAATTAAATATCTGAGTGTCTGGCTCAGCATCATTAACTTGAGCAGTACATATTTTAGAACACAGAATTATTCATTTTAAAACAAGAACATCACTGTTGAGTTACCATGTTAGACTGGGGGGCTGGCCACCACTTTTGACTGTTAATAAATTTATTCTTGTTCAAAAGAGATAGCTGGGACCTGTTCTTGTACGTTGGTTATTTGCATTTTAAGATGGCCTTTGAGAAGCTTTTGAAAATGTATTATTTGCTCATTCATAAAACATAACAAAGTGGCTTACAAAATGTAATAAAACCAAAATATAAATATCTATAAATCATAATTAAACCAACAATAAATTTTAGTTGTTTTAACGGGGGCTGGGAATCATATTGTGAAGGCTTGTCTAAACAGTGCAGTTTTCAGAAGAACCAATGACAGCTTAGGCTGAGTGAGATGAACTGCAGCAAGGTCACCCTGGATGTTTTATGGAAAAATGAGGATTTGAACCGTAGTCCTACATAGTCTAACATTCTGACCACTGTACAGTTCTCAGGGAACTGTTGACAGATCCTACTTGTCTTTGATAGATTCTCTTTCACTTGAAAAACCAACCTGTAGCCATATTTGGGTGTTTTGCTTCCATGTAAATCACATAAATGAGCAGGACAAGTGAGGATGAAAGTGCTAAGTTCAACCCTATTGTGGATATTAATTTTGTGCAGTTTGAAATGACTTGAAGCATAAGAACTGACTCCTTTTGGAAATAAAGCATTGTCCAGACCCAATATTATTCCGTTTTACTTACAAAACTTTCTTTAAAACAGAATTAAAATATGAAACATACATAAAAAACATACATATGACATCTTGTACTGTCCAGTAAAGGCTCAGCATCTTATAAAATATGTAATAATCCAAACAGACCTATAAGCAAAGGTATCTCTCTAACTGCAACCATTTTGCCTGGAGCTGTTTTCCTTGAGAGTTTCATTTACATCCTCGCTCCACAGTCTTGGGATAAAAGACTAAGACTCAAAGACAACTCTCTTCAAAATGGAGATGTGCAAGCAAATACCTTTGTCACATGATCTAAGGTTACTCATTCACGTACGGTTACCATATGTCTGGGAATTCCCAGACATGTCCTCTTTTCGGGATCCTACATGCCCATCCGGGGTTTTACATTTTAAAACAAATATCCTGGATTTTGGGTTTAAATTTTGTTTGCGTGGCTCTGGCTGCGGTTGACCCAGCCTTGGGCTTACACTCTGGTGACTTGGGCTCTGGCAACCCAGGCTCTGGCTCTGGCTCTGGCTCAGTGGTGGAGCTATTGGACAATTGGACTAAAAAAGCTTAACAACTTTTTTTTTTACCTCTTGAACTATGACAACCCTATATTCACGTGATAGCTAGCAGGAAACAACAACTAGTTAATTATCAACTCGGCAAGAGCTCAGAGTCCCTTAGAAAACTACTGTGGAAAAATCCCATATTAGCCAAACACATTTAGCCATTTTCTATTTTAAACCTTAATTACTACTCAGGTATTTTCCCATTTTTGTGCCAAACCAATTATACTTAACACACCTTCCATGCCACTTATCCCCATCACTCTGCAAAAGTTGGATGGCCAATTCTGTCAGGGAGGAGGAGTCTCCCATACTCATGGATGCTCCCAGACAGGGATAGCTGTGTATGCAGGGTTTAGCAATGAAGGGGCAGTAGTTGCCTGCTCACATGTAGGATTTGCACACAAGCAGCACATACAGAAATCTGGGCTTCTCAGCAAGAGGTAGTGCATGTGTGAGATACAAGTTCTGCAGCTTGCCCTGTTAACCAGCCCAAAGATTTCACAAAATATCTGGCTTGTGGATTTTTGTTCAAATGAGCAATCCTATTTGCCATCATTGCTTAACAAGCCAGAAAGTTTGTGAAATCTTTGGCTGGTGGACAAGACAAGCAAATATTCTTAAAATATACACTGAAAATATAACTGAACTCTTTTGTTTACAATAATGCACAACCATTTTGTTTCTTTCCTGGGCTCTGTAGGGTGACTTGTTCATCATCTAGCTCTACATGCTCTTCCTCCTGATACTTTTTTATATTGTCAGATCCTGCCATGTCCATTCAAAGCTAAACCTGCCTAAAATGATCTAAAGGATAACAAATCTGCTGTGCTGTGAGAGAACAATCTTTATTGAAAACCACAAGGTTTCCAAGGCACTTGCATAATAGAAATTCAGTCTCCAGTCATCTGAGTGCAAACAGCGCAAGCAGCATATCATGGAGTCCCACAAATTGTCCTACGAAAAGGAAGATTGCAGTAGAAAGCGAGCTCTCTGTATAGAAACTTAGCAAATATATTAATCCTGCCCGCTGTGTGAATCCCCTTAGGAGAAAAAATGCATACGAATGAGGATGTACATTAAAGCAGATACTAACAATGATTACGTTCAATCTCACTTGGAAAATGCATTCATTTTAGAATATGACAGCTGGACTCAGCTGTCTGCTGTGCAAATTTGGAAAGTCTTTCTAACACCAAAGTGTTGACTCTGGAGCTATGAGAAATAGCAGTCCTGGTTCCTAAGTGCTCTTGAGAGATGTTCAGCTGTTTAATTGTTGGGTGTGGTATTACACACACAGAGAGAGACACACCTACCTTTATCCCATTGCAGGACCCAAGGTGGCTCACAGATCAAACTAAAAATATAAATATTTCTTTGAAAAAACATTCAGTAAGTAACCCTATGCAAACAGCACTGAAAACTCTTGAAACCATTTAAAAGCACACATACAACACCCACACCTGGAAGATTTATCCACAACAATCAGTTGGTGGCCAAAGTTCTTTCAGAACCACAAAAATATTTGCCGGTTGGTAAAAGGAAAACAGAGAAGGGCCCAAATTTGCCTCATGTGGAAGGGAGTTCTGCAATCTAGCAGTCACTCAGAAGGCCATCTCTTTTGTCCTCACCAAGCATTCCTGTGGAGGTGGTAGGATGAAGAGAAATGTCTTCTCAGAAGATCTCAAAGCCCATCCACACTCACACAAGTCCTTCAGATCCCAAGTATTTCTTTGAAGGCCTTTGAAGTAAACCTCCATATTCTCTTAATTAAACCAGTCTTACTTGGCACCCACATACAAAACTAGAAAACCAAATAAAGAGTTTGTTTGACACCGTGAGTCACATAAAGATGAATAGCTACAGAGATTCTGTATATTCTGCCAGTTAAAATGTAAATTCATACTCTCCATTGTACATTTCAAATGAGTTTTATCAAACATTCCATTCTGAAAACACTTTTATGAGTTCTGTTAATCATAAGCTAAGTAAACATATTTCAGCTGTGATATATTACTATGAATGTCAGAAACAAGAAATTGCCAGCATTTGCCATCAAATGTTGATAGTCCTTCCAGAAGAACAATAAAACTAACCTCAATTTGCTGCAGTTTTTGACATTTATCTGTTTAGGGTGAGCTCCACAGAGCTTCTTAGGTCCAAGTGCTTCTGTGCATACTGCAGCTTTCTAGTTAGTTTGAAATCCATTTATTTCTGTGTTCAGCTGAAAAAGCTTCCGAAAGACCTTACGAAAAGGAAATAAAAAGTAGACAGTACCTGCCTGCAGGCTTACAGTCTAAAAGGCTTGACACAACAGGAAAAAGGGATGAGGAAAATAAACAAACTCAGGCACCACGTCTTCAGTTTACAAAGTAGTTCTCATAGTGAACAGCAGAAACTAGGTACTTTTTTGTACTTTTCTCTGTCAATTAGTAAGAAAGAAGCATGGACATTATCAAAGGGGTGGGAAAATTTCAGTGAAATTCTCATGGCTCAGATGTATTTGAGTATTCCTTTCCTTCATTCTGCAAATCCTATCTCTAGAGGTTTGCACTCTGTAGCCTTCCCGAAAGCCCTTGGATGTCCTCAGCTGAGCATTTCTGTAAGTGAGGGAAAGCTGGCACCTGCACATGGCAACTATTCTTTCTTGTTTTTAAGGAAGGTCTTCCTTTAAACACAAAATCAGTGAGTACATCAGTCTCAGGCACTTGGAAGCCAGGCTTCATCCTCTTCAGTTAAAGCCCAAGGGAGGACACCATGAGGTAAATCCTCCTATGGGACTTATGTGAATCAGGAAGTCCAGGCAGCTGAGGAGCCTTCAGAGTGTTGAGGAAATATTTAGTGGAAAAATGAAAGAGGAAAAACCATGCCACTCTTAGCCACTTTGTAAAGATTCAGAAAGCTCAACCTCACCCCCACTGAAATTCTGCAGAAAGGCAGAACAATGGAAGCCTTTTTGTGGAAGAAGAAAACGTGAAAAATTAGAGAACAGGTTTTGAAGCAGTACTAATGGAAACAGTTTAGGGAGAGGAGCCTGATGCTACTGGTCTTTCAACAATGCCAGGAAATGGCTCTGTTTCCCATCTTTGATGCAGTCTGATGGGATAACTTGCCAAGTGAATGCTATACGTTGTTGGTTATTATATGTCCCTAATGTTTGCAGAATGGATTTGCAGTAAAAAAAATCCAGGAAGGCCTCAGAGCAGAAGCACGTGTAAAGCTCCCCTCAAATCTTTATGGGATCCAGGTCTAGGTAAACTGAAGCTGGGTTGAATATCCCCCCCCCCTTTTCACAGGGTTGTCCATTCTCTGCAAAAGTGGAGGGAATTAGCTAGTAGCCTGGAGATGGGGAGACTGGCAGACTTCCAAATGTTAGATATTTTGTTTCTTGCCTTTTAAATAGAAGGTAGCGAAAAAGGTCTTGCTGCCACCTCAAGTGATGACTCGGTTGCTCTTAGAAGCCCAGTCACATTCCTGCTATAGATGGCACTGAGGAATAAAGCTATGTTATGACATTTCCCAGAGTATTCTTAGGATGAAATATAGTTGCTCATCTTGTGACCAATGGGGGCAGCCATCATTTCCTAAGAATGCCCTGTGACAATGCTGTGTCATAGAGGAGCATCTTTCCCATGTGTATTCTGTCCAAGTAGGGACATGGGACACTTGGGAGCATCCCAATCACCCTTTGGATCTGTGGCTGGGTTTTGTTTGTTTTTTAAAAGACAAAAATGAAAAAAACATCACCTCTGAAGAATAATCCAGTGTTCAGGGGGTTGTTTTGCCCCATCCCACCCCTTGCCAATTGGAGAAAGATTTTGTGCCAAGTAGGCTGAGTTGTATATTTTATTTTGTTGTTGTCTTATATTTTATACCTGTTGTTGTTGTTTAGTCATTTAGTCGTGTCCGACTCTTCGTGACCCCATGGACCAGAGCACAAATTGCCCCCTATTTTTTTTACACCCCCCATCAAGAACATTTTGGCAAATTTAAATGCCCTGATCCAGAATCTAATCGCCTGATCACTGCCCATGGAACTCTTGCAGGCCTGGGCTTTTTCATTCATTTCAATAGAGATCGACTAATCTTCTTGCATGCATAATTCTATTTGATTCTAAATTATTTTCCTAGAACAGTTGTCCATGGTATTGACCAGTGTGTATGGGTATGCCCTAGTCCTAAGTGGCACCCAAGTCCTAATGTGAGATGTACTACTGAACCATCTGAAAACAGTGACCCAACACAGTCACATTTGACTTCAGATGAGGAAAAAAATAATAATAAAGAGAAGACTAATTGAAAAGCATTTTAAAGGAAAAGTCAGAAGGGTCAAATCTCTTTCCAAAATACTTGGAGGTTATTTAATATTGCAACAATAGGTCAGCTAGAATGGATACCACAGATGAGAAAAAGTACAGTGAAGTTCAAAAAGGTTAGTTAGTCTCAAGGATTAAAAAAGTCAAGAAGGCTTCCTTTAGGAAATAGATTCCTTGCCCAACTATGGAGAACAGAGAGGAACACAAACACTTGTAAAATAATTTCTATAGACATGGTGAAAAGTCAGGGTAATAATGGGCAATACTGTTTTTGGTCTCTGCCAAGTGTAAATCTTTTTGAGGGAAACCATTGGCCCAAGCCCTAGCACTATATTATACATTAATAAAAGTATTCCCATGTTACATTTGGTAAAGGGATATAATAAAAAGGGTTATTTAAGTCTGTCAAAAGCTTTCCCAGTGTCCAGAAGCACCCAGACAGTAAAGTTTTCATTTTTACCACAGAATGGGCTAAAACATATCCTTGCATTTCTTTATAGATCCCCCGTCTTTTATAAATCCTTTTTTATCCCTATTAGCATATTTTCAAAAAATTAAATTTAATTTTACTGCATGACTACTGGTCCACAATGAAAAACTTCGGTACAATGAAATATATATATATATATATATATATATATATATATATATATATATGAAATATTTATTCACTTAAACCCTTAAAAAATTAAACAAGGCAGCTGACACAAATACTAGGGATATAGGGGTATAACTTAAAAACAAAACCATCTGTATCATATTGGGGTTATACAACCTTGATTTAGCAAGGGTATTTGTGACTGCTCAGAGTTCCTGACTGCAAAACACTCGTGGGTTTCTGAGCAGAGCTGGGTGGTTTTCCCTTTTCTAGATAGCCATTTGCGTGTTGAGGTCCCCAGGACCACCCCAATAACTCACACATCACACAGAATTTTTTGTTTAAGATTTTTGGCATAATTTTGGCCACAACTTTATTAAAATACAAATTTTATGAGTGGTTGCGTAGGCATTGGTTGCGACTATCTGCCCCCACCATGGGGGACAGACTGACATTCCGCACGATGCGAAAGTCAGAATAGGGGAATACACTTGGGGGTAACGCAGAGCAGGGGACCTGCCCTCACCCCAAATGCAACCAGGAGCTCATTGCTATGGCCCGAGCCCCCTTGACAGAGTGGACAAGCAATAGTTAGCCCCCAAGTCCTTTAACAGAATCCCTTGCAGCAGCAGCATTAGAGGGGCAGGCACAGCCAATCCATGCCCCTCAACCAACCAAACCATAAACCAATGCCTAACCGCGAACCTTACAAGTTGCGACGATTTGCTATGCACTAGGCAAAAACCAAATTGCCCCAGCCAATCAGCCAGATGGATAAAATTCCTACCAGGCCCCCGCTCCAAAGCAGACGACCCCATGACAGGCATAGCAAGGTCAAAGTGAACAACCCTATTCTAGGGAGGGAGGGACGGGCAATCCGATGCACGGGCGAAAAGAGGAAGCCCTAGCCTCGTGCAAGGAGTTTTAGTATTTCTGGCTGTCAATCCATAAATGGCAACATTAACTTCTTTCCAACAACAAGGGAAGCCCCAATCGCATCAGTGGCCAACGATCAGTTAGCCCTCCCCCAACTTTGGAGTGTCCTGGCGGCCCCCACCGCAACACGTGCTCTCCATGAAGGAGAACACGCTTTCCTTAGCTGGTCAGTTTATAGTCCTGTTAAAGCTGCTTATGCCCATTTTTAAGAGAGACAGACAGATAGACCATGCCATGTCCTCAGGTTTACCGATTAAGAAGAAGAGATACAGAAGGGAAGGAGGAGGACAGGAAAAAGTTTAGAATGGATTTAGTCAGTTGAAAACAACCTATGGGAACTGAACCTTCTTAATTACCACCAGCAATTAAAGGATCCCTTTCCCTAAAACATTTTATCTCTTTACTGCAACTGTTTTTCTGAAATTATACCTTTTTTTACCTGTTCATTCTCCTACTCGCTCCTTTACTTTCTTACTTTTTCTTTTCTCAAACTCCTTCAGGTCTTTTAAAATACAGCTTTGATATCCTCAGCTATTATAACTGCCTGAGGCCCTTTTCCTCCCCCCTTATCATGTCTTCCTCTTCTTTTCTTAGCTGCCATATGAAAATATGAACTTATTTCACCACTTTTCTGTGTATTCATACATGCTGTATAACATTAACTGACTCCAAACTGCATAGCAAGGATGACAAATTTTATTTGTCTTAACACTATAGATTTGTTAATTAATTCATGATCGTACTATTCTCCACAATACCACAAATCAATAGAAATAACACATTTCTTGGTAATTTTAACCATTTCTTCAATTTTATAATAGACTATGGCTGATTCATGATTTTCCGTATAGTAATTATTCTGTAATAGTTTTTCATTCAAAAAAACACTGTTCTTAGAAATGGAATTCCATTATTTATTTCGTATTTAAAACATGTATATTTGGTTTTTTAAAATGCCCAGGGCAGCTCACATAAAACAGCAATAAATACAAATAAAATTTGATAGACAGGTTGCAGATGCTAGCAGAACACAACGTTGTGAATAAAAACCAGAGGCAATTGGTGATAGGCAACAACATTTATTCAGAATATACCCATTGAAATTAGTGGACCTAACTTAGTCATATTTATTACTTGAAATGGGTCTACTCTGATTAAATCTTAAGTTAAATGCCACCAAATATAAATGTTTAATAAATAACCAGCTTTGATAATAGGCTGCTAACCCTGGGTACATATAAAGGTCAATTCTGGTGCTGGACAAGCCTTCCTGGATAAAACATTTCACTTACAGGCTGCTGTTGCTGAGAAAGCCTTTTATTTAGACACCACAAACCTACTTTCTGACAGCTGGAGAAGGTGGGTCTTCAAAAATGACCTCCAGTGATGGTTGTAAGGTTTGGACAGGTTCATGCAAGAGTAGACACTCTTTTAGGGATATGGTCCAGAGTCATTTAGAACTTTCAAGGTAAATTGCAGCACTTTGAATTTTGGACACAAAAAGACTGGCAATCTATGCATTTGTTTAAAAATGGGAATGAGATATTTATTTATATGTGAACACAGTTGTGCAGTAGCTATATTTTGGATTAACTGAAGTTTCCAAGGAGTCTACAAAGGTAGCCCTTGTACAGCATGTTGCAGTGGTCTGATCTGTACGCTAGCAGGATCAATCAGGATGTAGATAACTATCTAGACCTGATCCTAACATTTACTGTTTAGTTGCAGTGCAACCAGGGTTGATGGTATCAAAATCCATTGAAAGGTCTAGTAAAATTAGGCTTATACTCCCCATCTGGGAGACCAGGGCTGAAATGATACGTGAAAACACATTGAAATCAATCCAGATAGCCATTATAATCCAAGAGTGTATGGCGTTGCACAGCAGGCGCCCACCTTGCCCAAGAAAAGATATATGAGTCTGGAGAAAGGCTTAATCACATAAAGGCTATTGAATTTATTCACCATAACCACTTTACCCAATAAAGTTCAATTTGTTTCTGACTGATATTACTATTATATGTATTTAGCAATTAACTGCAGAAATGTACTTGTTAGAGATCCTTCATTGATTAATTCATGTACAAATCAAAAGAACTCACAGCTTATAAAACTATTTCTATTGAGTCAATTAACTTTTCAGTGTTCAATCTGATATCAATGCATTAATCTAACCACTAGAGTCCCTTGTAACCAGCTCATCAGTTTCTTCCACAGAGTTAAGACAAAAGCTCCAACTTTAATTCATTAACCAGGACAAAAAGCCAATTCATTAATGCAAATAGATCACTCTCTAAAATAATCCTAACTAATTAAACAGGCAATTC